CACACTCTGTTTTATTATTAAAAGAAAAATTATATTATTTCTTCTTTCTCCCAACTACAACTAAATGAGCAAGAGAAATGCATATGTTGTCTACGCTCTAACTCTATCTCTACAACAAAAATGAATCTAACCATCCCAACTATCTCTGCTCTAATTCCAACTCAAAAAATTGAATAATGATTTTTTCGTTAAATAATTCAGTGCCGTGGACAACATTTACAAATATGAATATGATTATCACTTGCTAAAAATAAAATTACCATATAATACCTCGTGGTATTACCGATAAAACATGCTACTGAAAATTATAAATCAAATTACCATACCATATGGTATAACATGCTAAAAGTAAAATTTCAAATTTAAATACCATCAATACCATGTGGTAATATCAATATATATTTTGTTACCACATAATACCATACATTACCATATTGTATAATGTGGTAATATCAATATATATTTCGTTACCACCCAATACCATATGGTATAATGTCATAGTATCAATATATATTATCTAAAAGGAAAAAAAAAACAGAAGGAGGGAGAGAAAAAAATCGTCTTATGTCGCCTCTCATTTCCTCTTCCGCAATCAAGAACACCAAAATGCCGAAAAAATAAGAAAGATTGGAATTGAGGCCAACGAGTTGATGAAGAGAAGAAATGCAATGAAAGAGAGTGACTACAATTTTTATTCGTCTTGGAGAGAAAAAATAAAGAAGAAGAAGAAGAAGAGAAAGGAGCATATCTAGATCTAGAAAGGAGATTGAGAGAGAAAAATGAAGAGAGAAAGAGAAAGGATCAGGAAAAGAGATTGGGAGAGAAAAAGGAAGAGAGAAGGAAGAGAAAGATAAATGAGAGTTGCAGAGAAGTGATCATTTCTCTTTCCTTCTTTGAAAATGCATCCATTAAATAAGAAATAAAATAAAGAATTTAATGTATAAACGGACAAAAATACCCTTCCCCACCCCGCATCCGGACCAACCGCACGATTGTCCCCCTCCTAGATCTACGGTCCCTATTTATTACTGACATGTCAGTAACCACTTGGTTACTGACCCTATCTCAAGCCCCACTAACCCTCTAATTACCCACTACTTCACGTCATTCCCACCCTTAACAACCTATAATTAGTTAATAATTTATCTACAGATAAATATAAGGCAATGTCAACAAATATTTTATGCCACGTAAGCCCATCCTCGCCAACCCGCACACATCGGAAGGATATATGTGTAAATTTAATCCTTCCTTTTCCAAGTTCCCGTATTTTTTCTCCATACAATCTAGATTTCACACCCATTAATCTCTAACAAACAAAAAGCCAGCAAACTTCCCGGCTCCTCTCCATAGTGCTGCAGCCGTCGAATCCAACAAACCTAGCCGTGGCGTCATATGCAGCAAAGGGAGTCGAAGTGTGGAACTCCCATGCTACCCACTCTGTTACATCTCATAATTTAACGGCCTTCAATCCCATTCTCGCACCTTAGGCATGGTGCATCCAACCACTCCGTAGCGCCACTGCCATCGAACTCAATAAACTCGACTTTGCACCATCGAACCTCACTGGTGCGCAATCGAGAGTTGATACGATCAGTCTCCAAATCAACATTCAATAGCCCCCATCTACGTCGCTACCGCTCCTTCTCCAACTGTGTCACCGCCCGTCGACTCAAATCAGCATCTTCCATCTCCACTCCCCTAAGTTTCGGCCCAATAATTTCCGTCTTTTGTTTCTTCTTGCCTTGAAATTTTTGAGGGATTCTCAGGTAGCGCAAGTTTCTGAAGAAGGCTTCAAAGATTGCAAAGTATTATTAGGGATTCAAGTCAATGTTAAAGCTGTGCTTACCAACTCTTGGATTGCATGTCCAATCTTCATCGCTAGCAAGATGGAAAAGACCACCTTAGGGTCTTCAAATGTAACAGAGATGTGGGGGCAGTCTTTTGGGAGTGTTGCAATCAGGCTTGGAGTCGCGATCCGGGACGAAAATGACAAATTCATCTTTGGGGATTGCAGACCAGGAAAAGCTGAAGTTATAGCTGTAGCTTTGGGGATCAACGAAGCTTTGTCTCGCGTTTAAAATCTTTAATTGTGCATATTGCGACGCCGTCAACCCGCCATCGCCTGAGTTTCCTCTTCGTCTCCTCTTCTTCTCCTCTAGACTCTCCTCTTCGGCTCTTCCCTTCAATCCTCCACCAGCACTCTCGCAACATTGCCGTCAACCCGCCATCGCCTGAGTCTGCGTCTCCACCACCGCGACGACCCAGGGCCTCCGCCGTTCGCGTGCTCGACCCCCTGCTTATACTCCTCGAATCGCCAACCGCCTTGCCCCGACGTTCGCCTCCACTCGCCGCCACTGTGCCTCTGCTTCTCCTCCATGGCCATGGTGGCCTGCCTGGTGGTGGTGGGGGTTTGAATGGAGAAAGGAAGGAGAGATGGTGGGCGGATTTTTGGGGATTTTTTGTGTGGATTTTTGCAACTGTTTTGAAATGGAGGAAGGGGATAAGGTTTAAGTGGTGGGCAGATTTTTGGGGATTTTTTTAATAATTTTTGAAGAGAAGGGTGTGATTTTCGGGTATGCGATTAACCGAACCAAAACCGGCTAACCGACCGGTCGGTTGTCGGCTAGTCGTTGTATCTGTCACGGTCGGTGGTCGGTAGACGGAGGTGGTGGCTCGGTTTAACCGATAACCAAGAAATCGATTTTTGATTAAACCGAAACCGACCGACTGACACCCCTAATGGTTATTGCAAGAGGAACCAAGTATGTTCTTAGTGAGTCCACATATTGATCAAATCATCGGACAATGATTTTGTTGTACCTTTCGGTATGGAAAACTTGGGCGCTTATGCTTTCATTTCTTGGAGCTATGAAATATTTTCTCAGAAAACAAACACTACTACTTACATGAAACATGTCAATTAATATCACTCCTTTTACTCATGAAACATGCATTGATAAAGCTATGAAATATTTTATCTGAAAACAAACACTACTACTTAAATGGTAGCCACTATTAGAAGATTTAGATAAAACGAATATAACAACTAATGGTAAGATTTGAATAGCAAGCAAAACTCCACCGGCCAAAAGACCGGGCCTTATGCTAGTAATAATTAAATAATTGCACATGACAGGTTATTATCACTATTACCTCCCAAGCCATGAATCCGTAAGGTCGCCAATTGTCGGGTTGGAGACCGTTGTTGCGTCGCCAATTGATGTCCCCGCCTCCGAGCTAGTTTTAGCTCCGATTTCACCACCTTGCACCAACGTTCTCATCGCATCAACTGTGGCCTCAACTGAAGAGCTAATACTAGCTTCTTCCCTGTTTGGATGGCGAAAGTCGCGTGTTTAATGTGCTCTGTTATCAAGGCAAACAAGAACACAAGATCAAACAAAAACCAAGACCGTCAAATATCCACCGTCGAGTGTCGGGCGATGTTGATTTGATAGATACACCTTTGACTTCTAACAAAGAACAATTCACCACCTCTCCAAACTACGTTCAAACGAGGGTGTTCGGCGAACAACGAGGAAACAAGGAGGATCTAAATTACGTTACTTCTACTCCTATGGAGGTTCTTCTGGAGAGCTCCGCAACTATGACTACGATCTACGGCTACTACGACTCTGCAAAGGAGGTCTTTGACAAAGAAGTTCTACGAAACTAGAGAGAAAAGGTAAATTTGCGACGGTGCAGTTTGAGATTTAATTTTGCCGTCTCAAGCTTCTCTCTCTTCCTTATGTTTATACCCATTCTCTTTCCGTAGTCGCCGTAACCACCTCGCTCCGTCTTTGTCTCCCACGTTCTCCATTCTTCTCAACCGTGGTGTTGTTGATACCTCTCACGGCGTCATTTTCAACTAAACGACACCGTCTAAAATAATTATTAAAAAGATTAATTAATTAAACCGACTGATTATTGTCACGGTGTCACATTATCATCCCTCGGCGCCGTTTAATCTTTCCGCGACATCGCTTTTCACTAATCGATGCCGACCTTGTCAAATTCATAGCCACAGCTTAATTGCTTCAGCGCGATCCCATCAAACAATGTGGTTTTCATTCCGCGACATTGTTCTCTACCGAACAGTGACATTTTCCTGTCTTGCGGTGCCGTTGGACTTGGCGGACCGCCCTCACCAAAATCCTACCCGGTGTGGGGTAGTTTTTTTAATTAAACGGTGTCATTTAGCCATACCGCGGCGTTGTTGATGCCTTAAGCTGTATTGTTTTTACCTAAACGACACCGTCCAAATTAACTATTGAAAATATTTATTGATTAAATTGGCCATTCTAAAACTTGGCCACCGCGATGTTACACGAGCCGCGATTCTCACCCCGCGGTGCCTTTCTTAGCACCACATCGTTTCCTAGTCTCAGCTCTACTACAACATTGAATCTCTCTGCGACGTCATTACACTTCAAACAGTGTCGTTTCTCCCCTCCTCCGACAAGGAAAAGAAACAAAAAGTATTCCTTCTCCAATAACAACACCAGCTTTGCCAGGCCGAGTGGATTCGACATTGTTTTCCCCTAAACAATGTCGTTTTACGTACTACGGTGTTGTTGGGCTTCCTCGCTGTGTTGTTTTACTCTCCGCGATGCCGCTCAACACCAAACGACTCCGTTTTTTGTCCTGCGATATAAAATTAAATGCCGAGATTAATTAATGCGGCATTTAATTCAATCCAAAATAATTTTAGGTGTCAACAAATGCCTCCCACAATTTGGTTTATAAGAATTATGAACCAAATTGTTGATGAAAACTATAATACGTAAAATATTTGGCTCAACGTATTTAAAGAAAATAAACACACGGGTACAAAGTCTGCAAATTCTTCTGCATGGCAAAGTGATTTTGGCCACAAAGTTTGGCCTTTCATTCAACCCTGAGTGTAACGAAAACAAGGTGCTCGCAATGCTGTTTTGGTTGAAGCTAAACCCCCAACACAACACAGTTGTTGCTTCAGCGATGCTGCCTACAATAACGATTTTAATTTAAAATATTTATATTATTATACTATTGCGGCCCGTAACGCTGTTTTCCTCCCCAAACAGACCTGATTTTTTGTTTCCCTCGTCGGTGCTGTTTTGGCTAAAATCTCTTCTCCTTTTTTTTACTATATCATTTTTAAACAGCACCGCTAAAACCACTACACAGACAACGTGGTTTCACCCGAACGACTCCGTTCCTCACTCCTACGACCGCTTTTTTTTCATTCGTTTGGCGGACTTGCAAACCTGCATGGCTTTCCTTGCCATATTGCAGAGCCAAATCCTATTCCTTTTCCCACGAGGACAACTAAATCTGTTCTTTGCCCAGCAATTTTGCGGCCAATTAGAAGAAAATAACATTTTTAAAATACATATTTACCCGTTGTGGTGTGCTTCACAGCAGCGTTGTACTCTCTTCCTTTCTCAACACTACGGACTCGACAATGTTGTCTTGTTTTTTTTTCTCTCTTTTCTCGTAAGGTTGAGCGGCAAACACTCACACCACTGTTTTTCAAAAACACTAGCGTTTTGCTACAAACAGGTACGACTTTTCTTGTTAGAATTATTATTTCTTTTGTCCAACATCGTTATGACAAGGAAAAACAACAAAGAGGGAAAAACCAACGCACATGTTTCTCGATTGCCAACGCACCTGTTTATCGATCCTCCTCGCATCGATACTGTTTGTGCCAAATCGACTGTGTTACCTTTTTTTTTAAGCTTACTCGCAATCTTGCCTCTCGCTCCATGGTCGCAGCATTGTTGTGCTTGGCGTCCAGTGCAGATCTGACTTTCATTCCCGTTGCACTCTGAAGGGTTGCTCAAAGTAGTGTTTTTATCAGCCAATTTTCAGTAGCCTAAATCACTGATGTTGAAATTTTAAATTGACACAATGTTATTAGTCCATCGCAAAGCTGCTCTTCCAAAACCTAAAATTTTCAGCTTTGCTTCTCTAGCCACGTATTTTATTATTTTTGGAAAAACCCCTTACTCTTCCTAACCAACCACAACATTGCCCCAAAAGAACAACATTAATCCTTGCCCTCCGCATTGTAGGCCTAGATAAAAAATCATGTCATCACATAGTAATCTTTCTTCTCTTTGACGCACACAACAATTTTGTTCCTTCCATATTACGCCTGGCCACTCCGACAAGAAAATGACAATAAAACGGTATTGTTGTGCCAGTTTTATCTTGCGACTTAGATCGCAAGTTTGGCTATATTGGCCAACCAAAGCTCACCATTTTAGCCAAGAAAAGAAAATTAATTTGGTATTATACCACACTGACTGGGATTAAGTTGACCCTACCGCTTGCCTTCAGGCATTAAAATTTTCCTTTTATATTAGTAACAGAGTTGGCAAATTGGCATATTTGTTGCATACTTTGCCAATCTCATACTACTCAACCACGTTGTGCAGGCTTGGTAGCCGACGAGACAACATCCTCTTTGCACCTGGTTGATCGTCATTGTTAGACTACTGACCAGCTGCGTCCCATAGGGACGACACGTATGGCTTTAGATATTTGCCATTTATCAAACGCGCATGCATCACTCCATCCAAATCTTTCAGCAAGTATGCTCCATTAGGGCGCACTGAGTGCACAACAAATGGTCCACGCCAATTCGGTTACCATTTTCCAAACTTGGGATCTTTTTCCCCGGCCCAATCGGCAAGTGAGCTTTCCAAACCAGCTCGCCCTCCTCAAATGATTTGTGTCGAACCTTCTTGTTCTAAGCTCTCGCCACTCTTGCTTTCTGTACTTGAACATTATCGAGGGCGCAGAGTTGAAGTTCATCAAGATCGCAGAGCTCAAGCATCATTGATTCATGATACTCCGGAGGTGTTAACTCGTGCTGCTTCATATACCGGAGTGAGGTGACGGTCACCTCCACAGGAAGGAATGCTTCATGACCGTAAGTTAACGAGAAGGGACACACTCTGGTACTGATTCGTGGTGACATCCTGTATGGCCACATCGGTTCTGATAAAATTCCATGCCATTGTCGCGGATTATCCTCAATCATCTTTGTCAAAATATTTTTCATGACCTTGTTGGATGCTTCCGCTTGCCCGTCAGCTTGTGCATAATACGGCGTGGAATGGATAATCTTTATCCCCCATTCTGCCGCGAACTCCATAACTTCCCCCCCCCCCCCGGTGAACAGAGTTCTTTGGTTTGCCATTATCGTTGCCGACAAACCAAATCGGTGAATGATGTGTTCTTGTATGAAAGAAATCGCTTCATCTTGGTTAGCCACCTTCAATCGCTTGGCTTCCACCCACTTGGTGAAGTAGTAAGTAGCCAAAATTATAAAAATGTGTTTCTTTGACGATGGAGGGTATATCATACCACTCAAATGCATGCCCATCCTTAAAACGGTCTTGGTTTGATTATGGATTTTAGATCAACCGTCGGCGCTCTTTGAACAGGGCTGTGGCATTGACAAGCTTCGCAGCCCTTGGCATACGCAGCACAATTTGGCCCAATGGTGAGCCAATAGAATCCGTAGCGATGTAGAATCTATCGGATATTTTTGCCACCTCTACTGGGGGTTAGGGATTTTTAATTTTTATTTTAGACTTAATTATATATATTTATATTATTAGATAAATAAAATATAAAAAATAATTTTAAATTAAATTTTTTTTATCCATTTGGAGCTCAGCGTTAGTCAAAGATGTCGACCGTCCAAATTGACAATCTAACAACTCAACCGGCAAATTGAATCTATATGGTGTATAATTGAGGTTAAGATATCTATTTCTAAAACCACCATCTAAAATTGATTATTTATATATAATTCAAGTGAGTATAAAGTATTAACCAAAAAAAAAAAGTGAGTATAAAGTATTAAGCCAAAAATATTACTATATAACATCTCTTGGGCAGAGCAACGGAAAGTAGTAGGAAGCATACCCACGTTTGCGCCACTACGGTCTCAAAACTGGCCCCCAAATGTCCACCTCTCAGTTACAAGTAGAACCATATCCTCATTAATTGTGCAGATGTCACCTTAACGCTGACCCACGTCCCCAATCACGACTCTTTGTACATGCAACTCTACCTCCACGCGTCACCAACCCACTGACCACCGCAAGCCCTCTAGCCAGCGCTATCTAGGGTCCCTGAAACAAATCAAAAAAGAGTGTAGTGTGATAAATTATTAAAGCAAGAAGAGAGGAGCAATATAATTAACTTTGGGGTTTTGTGAACCAAATAACTTTGGTGGTTTTTAGGCTAGCTCCTGATCGAAGCGAAGCAGGCAGCCACATGCAGAAGCAAGAGGAGAGAAGTAGCAGCAATTGGCGCGGCGGCGGCGAACATGAGCAAGAGATACAAGTGCACAAGGCATCAGATGAAGAAACGCGATCTCATCCTCCTCTGATGGCGCTGAACCATGTATCCCGACTGTGCAGGGATGTTGAGAAATCGCTCGATTTCTACACCGAAGTCCTTGGGATGGTGTTGATTGAGAGGCCGGAGGCTTTTAAGTTCGATGGAGCGTGGCTCTACAATTACGGCGTTGGGATTCACTTGGTACAGGCTACAGACGAGGATAGGTTGCCTGACAAAGACCGCGGCCTCGATCCCATGGATAACCACATCTCTTTCCAGGTATTCAAGTATAGCTAGCTAGCTAGAAATTACATTAACTAACTAACTACTAAAATGAGTATTACAAATTGTGAACAGTGTGAAGACATGGAAGCTATGGAAAGGAGACTGAAGGAGTTCAATGTGGAGTACCTGAAGAGGACGATAGAGGAAGAGAATGGGAGCAAGATAGACCAAATGTTCTTTGACGATCCCGATGGGTTCATGATCGAGATATGCAACTGCGAGAACCTGAAGCTTGTCCCTGCTGGCTCCTTGGGCAAAATTAGGATCCCCTTCGACCGACACACCCCTCCTCTTGACCTCAACACTACGGCCGATGGTCATCGCCAACACGAGCACGCGGATTAACTCTCTGCTTATGCTTCGTGGGGTTGCCTATATATAATCGAGTTGGCTCTTTTTTCCCCCTGCAAAATCTAGCTTTTAGTCGTTGCTTATTCCAATTGATACAGCTAGCTATATATAGACCACTAGGACACTTGCATGCTGTGAGCCATATATAGTACTTTGCTTTAATTTTTTTCCAAATATCAATGAGAGACGGATTCGTCACCAAATGGACTGGCCTGTTAAACTAACAAGGAGTAAAAGAACAATTAAAATGACCAAAAGACAATGAAAGCTTAACAACTTCCTCCAAGAGAGCACCTCCCAAATTAAAGCATGCATGCTTCGTGTCCCTTGTCACAAACCATTCGTACGTTCTCATAAAAATTAGTTGAGTTAAACACCATCGAATATCATCACGAAGAGCTAGCTAAAAGTTGAGTTTGTCATACCTGAATAGTATTTTCGAATAGCAAAAAGAATAGAGCTCAGAAGATAGAAGAGAAGCATACAAAATCAATTCCTTCGATCTCCGAGACTATCCTCCATGGCTCTCAATTAAAGCATACAAGAACTCTCTCAGGGGCACAACAACCATCTTGAAGATCCGGCCACGCGATAACTCAATCAAGTGGTGAAGAAGCAGTTCACCACGCATCAACTTGACCTTCGAATTGTTGACGTAAACCGAAGCGAAGCTAAATAAAGAATTTGCTCGACATTAGTTAATCACAACCAAAGGGGACCCCACCCTAATATAGACCATAGTTCCCTAACTACCCAACAACAGAATTGAATTGATAATGCACTACGTATCATTTCGGAACCATCAAAGCAGACTGGGCAAGTACTATCCGCCACCAATTTCTTATCCTGCAAAATAGAATAAACAGACAAGAAACTCCGAACCAGACGCCAGAAGAACTTTATTTTTGGGGTAAGGGTAAATACCATAAGAATTTATAACACGTGGAATCAAACGACTTATGAATAGATGGAAGGATGAGGGTAATAAGAGAGCATTCTGATGCACTCTCAACCCATCCAAAGAGGAATTCATTTAGGCCACAACTAATTTGTCCAAAAAGGCTTATGAATAGATGGAAAATAGTAGTGGCAAGAGTGGATCTTTTAGATGGATACCACGTTGATGTGAGAAATAATCATAAGGACTTCTATTGAGTAGGATCAAAAAACTTATTGTTGTCACGCAAGTCCTGACCCACCGAATCCAAGTGTCACAGAATCCCAAAGTCTGCATAAAAGCAAAGAGAAACTTCCATTCTACCCGATCATAGGCTTTCTCCATATCCAATTTTAGCACCATTCACTTATCTCTGCTCTGTACTTTAGTTTTTAGATACTACATGACCTCTTGCCCAATGAGAATATTATCAGTGATGGACCGCCTTTGACAAAACCATTTTGATTACTACCAACAACAGAGGGAATGGTGGACCCCAACCTAGATGCCATGAGTTTTGCATATCTTATAGAAAGCCTAGTAGAGCTCATGACAACCCCCATCAATTTATAAATCCTCGCATGTCAAAGTTCACGATAAGTGTGTTATCTACCGATTTAGGTGGATAATCAACAGCTTCTACACTTTTGTGACCAAAGTAATGGTCAATCCAATGTGACTAGTAGTAAATTTATGAAAATAGTCGAGTCTTGCAATGAAATAGTTTGTACTACAATGGTGGGTCGACCAACTAATGTCATCCAAACTCTATCGTTGAGTCTGGCTACATTACTATTGCCAGAAGTGAGCGAATGCAATGTGTCTTTTCTTATGAACAACATTGTTCTTAAGCAAACACAAGTTGGAGGTGCTTTGAGGAAGCCACCACCAGTTGCCCACATGAAAAAATCCAATGTTGTGAAGATTGGTATAACTCAACAAATTCCTTCATGTAAATTGTCCCCAAAGATTCCACTGAGTGGACACGGGGGAAGTGCATATCTATAGGCATACAATATCTTATTTCTTCTAATAACAAAACTACTAATAATAGATGAGCCCAGAAATTGCTAAATTAATATGAATGACTCGTATCATAACAATCCTCCCGCCTTTAGCGCAAACTTGACTTCAAGGTTCGTCGTGCAAGAACCCTCAACCTAGACCAAATTAGAAGAACCGTTCCCACAAGGTTACGCAATGACGAGAGTAGATACCCACCGGTGCCGAGCTCATTTACGTTGTTTCCAATTTGGCTCAAGAACTTGAACGAACGCAACATCACTAGCTCTTACCACCTCTTCCTTCACATACATGGAACGAAACTCGCCATGCGTTCCTTTACCCATGTCATGCATGAGTGTATGAAAGAAGGACTTTCGCATGCAAATTTCGTTTACATGACCTCCCTACAAAACATCCATACGTACGAACCTCCATTCTACCACTTGTACTCCCACATTGCCTTCACGACCAATTCCCAAACTTGACATTTTCACAAAATTATCCTTAACTCTTGATAGCACGTGGTTGCTCGTTCCTTCCCTGTGCATATTCGAGCACATGATTTCCCCAAACGCGGTTCTTGGCTGAGGCAATTGCTTTCTCATCCAAATAAAGATACAAAGGGGCCTGATCGCTTGCTACAGCTGAATTCGAACATGTAGTCGTAGTAGAAGTCAACAATTGTGGTAGTTGAGCTTGTCACAATCCTGTCCCTTTGTTGCCCGCCACATCAAGTTCAGAATGCGCTAGACTGACTCCATACAACAACCCACCAGTTAATCCTCCCATTTAAGGTTCAATGCATCCTTGAACCGACCTGCACACCCAAGGAACATTGAAAAACCTTCTCGATCTGATGTCGACGGTTAAGCTATACAGACTATTTCAAAGTCGCGGTACTGGCCATCTACGTCTTCCAATCAAATCACCACGAGGTGCAATGGGAACCGGGGGTACGGCTGCCATGTCGACGGTAGACATCAATCTCTTTGAAGCCAGGGTTAACTCTTGTTTCAGCAAAGAAACTGTTCGCGAGGAGATGGTGGCGGCGGGAGTGGATCCCTCGACAACAGCTGGAGTTGGTGTTGTTGCTGTTGTTTCTTATTCCCTAAAGCATCTTCGACGATCGTGGGTTGATTGGATGAAGCTCTCATCTTGATGCCACGGAAAACAGCGGCCAGACCCACATTAGCCATTTTTTCCGCCTCTTCAACACCCCAACCCTCGGCGTGATTACGATTTTGGTACTTCCACTCTTGCGGATCTCTCCATCCCAACGCCTCCCATCCCCCCAGGTATGACGGCTGATCTTGAATGAAATAAGGTTGAGGTGGCCAATATGGACGGTGTGATGACGACGGGTACAAAGCTAGATATAACCGCCACGGTTGCTTATTCCGATGAAGAAGGTGTTGTGGAAGAATTCTCCCGTAGCTCCTTACTCATGGAGCATAACCTTCGTAACCTAGATGTTGCGTGACACTCAACATAGCGAATTCATAGCCAACCAGGCTCTGATACCAATTGTTACGTGGATTTCTCTTGTGGATCGTAACTTACATCGTAAGATTCATACGAGAATCGAAAGAAATAGAGTTAGAAAGAAGAGAATTAGAATTATTAAAGTGCAAGTTCCAAAAAAATAGGGACACTTTTCATTACTAAAAATTCGTTGGTCACTGTTCACAGAGGGGTTTGTGGTCCTCTAAGGACAAATTTCATCAGCCCAGATGTACCCCTATTGTGGTGGGCAAGATTGATCATTGATCAATTTTTTTATTCTTTTAAATATATGGGTTCATGTAGTTGTCACTAGCTTATCAGATCCTTTATCTTTTGAGTGGGTCTTTCTTTCTCTTATGAGTCTTATCTCTCCTGTGTGGTCCTCTTCTCTCTCCTCTCTTTTTTGTCATCCATCCTCTTTTTTTTTTATAACTCAGGAACCTCAACCTCACATGTCACTTTGTGACAGCGTGATCTACTAAACCTGGGGAGCACCTGTACAAGACACAACATCGGGAGACTTCGTCCCCGACACTCAGGCATGTCTCCGGGAACACACAAATGGCGCCGCTGAGGATCGAACTCAGGACCTCTCACATCCTGAGCCAACCTCTTTCATTCATCCATCCTCTTTCATTCATTCTTTTCTCAAGAGAAAATAATAATCATCATTACTTAGGCTAGCTTGATGATAACTAATTACATAAATTAATTTTAAACATAATGATGGCTAGAGATATGATTGATTTAGAAAGGTTTGAGACCAAAGTCATAAAACTCCATTTTCAAGTTAGATGAAAATATATATATATATATCAAGTAACTTCTCAATACCTAGTTCCTACAAGTTTGGATATAGTGGATTTCATCAATTTGCATTATATTGATTCAAAAAAATATGAAAGCTTCTGAATTATTAACTAAACTATTGCCAATCTCATTCATTTGCATTATATTGAACTAAACAAAACATGAAAGCTCTGATTGACTAACTAAATTGTTGTCGATCTCATCAATTTGTATTAACCAAATTAAAGCTCATGTAAGATAAAATAATCATACATAATAGTTTTTAATCAAATGTGAGACTTATATGTAATCAGAAACCACACGTTACAAAATATTACGTGACACCCAGTGGGGGAACTAGAAGGGTTTGGCTCTATCACGGGACACAGTAAATTTTGGTAAACTAATTATTAATCCCTATGTATGCATATGGAAAGGATTGAACTCACTGGTTTTAAGTGACGTAAATGTATAGGCCACTAATGTATAGGCCACTGTACTAAAACTCACTTGTTGTTATTGGATTGTCATAATTTTAATTTATGATATCATGAGTGAAATCCCAAATTGAAATAATTTATATTATGAAAAAAGGACACATCTAATTTCTATTTTTGGCTATACCACTGGTACACCGTTAGTTATTTCTAATGTACCGATCAAACAAACCAGTTATTTAACACTTGCGTAATAATTAAGACACTACACAAAACTTATAAAAGTGTCTTACTCGGGCCATTATCAATGATTTTTTTTTTCAACTAAATCATTATAAGAGTAGATGAAATTTTATTACAAAATAAATAAATAAATAAATATTACCGTCACGAAGCACGGGTCAAAAAACTAGTTGAGATGAAAGAGAGAAACTATAAACTACTAATGAATTTCAATTTTCAACGTAACATTAAACGAATGGACAAGAACATATTTATAGGCATTAAACATCTCTTTTCTCTTATCTAAAATATGACTACTTCTCCCACAAGAAAACAATAACCAAATGCTAAACAATTACAACAAAACGATGGAAATTTATTTTCTGGCAAGAAAACTACTAAGACAATTAAATAATAATATCCCAAATAATAAAAATACAAACTAATTAACAAAACACTTAAAACAGTTGACTTGAAAATTTTCTAAATTATTAAAAATAGCTGGTAACTTAACAAAGATGTGCATCCATTCTATGAACCCTGCGAAAGTTTCCACCGTCGTGAAACACCCATCAAAGGAGTCAGACGACAAGTTAGCATTCATGCAAACTAATAAGCCAATTTATAAGCAGCATAGTCCTGGCTATTGACCGAAACTGGGATCCCTTTGCTGCTCCAAGCTAGGTCCCACACGTCGGCCAAATGCAGGGAATAACCTCCTCCCCGCTCAGTCATTCTCTCTCTCTCTCTCTCTCCCTCGTCACAACACAATTGAATGCCCTCCAAAAACCCAGCTTCCAGAAGCAGTCAAAGTGAATCCTAAACTAGCTGGCGAATGAATAACAGGACATTTCAGCCATCAAATGGGAAAGAGAGAAAGAAGAAGAGCAAAAAAGCAGATGATGGACAAAACAGAGACCAAATTTTCCACGTCAAGAAACATAAAAATTGAGGTTGTCACGTATCGTAACTGAAGTGGGGTGTCCAGTTTTGTTTATCGAATATCATGGGTCGGCAAAATGTGCCTTCTTCGTCTTCCCTCCCCCGGCCCCATCCATAAATATGCCCCATCGAATTCCCCCCCACCTCCAACTCATAATTCCATTGCGATCGATCCAGCGAACCACATGTTATAGCCCACAGCCCCACACATTACATATAAATATTGCAAAACGCTAGGCTAGCTACATTACAGAATTTAGTTTTGTTCTTGCGATGGAGTGGCTACCATTCTCCTCCTGCCAGTGCCTGCCCCTGGCGATCTTCCTCCTCTTCATCGTATTCGTGGCCGCCCCTTGTTCCGCGTATTCCTTGCATCCCACGGTGGCCTACTCGATGATGGAGCACCGCGACCACACCGGAATCTCACCCTTCCGCGTATTGAACAGGAGAGCTCTCGGCCAGTGCCCCGACCTAAACCCCTACCTTGCCATCCAAGTCACCAGCGGCACCTCCGCCCTAGGCCTAGCTGACCAAGAGTACGTCACGGTCACCGTCAGCGGGGTTCTGCTGCCGTCGGAGCTGGATTGGGTGGCCATCATATCTCCCTCCGACTCCGAGTAAGAAGCTAGCTGTATATATATTAATTAATTAGTTAGATATATGTTCACGTAGGTAGCTAGCTTTCTCCGTGAGCGTGGAACTAACTAGGTAAAGGGTGGTGGTTGAAGTGTGTCCGCTTGTCCATTGAAGAAAGCCGAGTACGTTCAGACGGGAGACCTTGCTGATCTTCCTCTTCTCTGCCACTATCCTGTTAAGGTAAACCAAACACGTATACTTCCTTTTTGTTTATATATATATTTTCTAAAAAAAAAATTTGTCTTTGGTGGAAAAAAATTCTAAATTATTGATACACATAACTCGAACGAAACAAAAAAGAGGATAGATAACATGAAGCATAACTCATACTTAATTAGTTGTTGCATAGATACAACTCCCGCCAGCCCCATATTTCTTTTGTATAAAAACTAAGAATTTACAAATCCTTGCCTACCCTCGGTAAAACGAAAAGGAATAATTTTGCAGAACATCAATCCTTTTCAAACAAGAGACAAAAGCATATTCAGTAGTTTCTACCTACACAATTGGAGTCGGCCGGAATCATATATATAATAATATATATTGGCACGCAGAAATTATCGGCGGTTGAGATGAAAATGAAATCCAGAAAGTGACGATAACTAATAAGCGAATTAATTAATGTTGCCTTTTCATTTTCGGTTTCTCAACCTTTCATTCTCCCTCCGTATGGGCATCTCGTAAAATTCCAAATTCCACCCATTTTATGCTTGGACTTGGATGAGAGTATTAAATAATAATAAAGTGCCCCCGGGAAAACAGGATCATGGACTCAAAGTCGACAACCCACACCTCACTTGCTTTGCTACCCAATTTCTACTATACTACCTAATATATACATATCAATTCAACGCGTTAGATCTCATTAGTATCTTCCTTTATATGAATAGGTCACATAGTATCATAGAAAGCTAAATATTATCTGTCTTTTCATTTTATTAGGGCATAAAAATTACACAAATTCTTGCATATATGTGTCGGTATTGCACCAGTACTCTTAATTGTAAAAAGTGCACAAATTTTGCGAACAAAAATTTGGTCTAGTTGTACTATCATTGCTTTTAAATCTCGATATCTCATGTTATATATGTTTGTGATGAACTACTTTTCATTCCAACAATTAGAGAAATTCTGCAAACAAGTTTTACATCTAATGGTACTATCATTAATTATCTTCTATATGAAGTTATAAATTCAAATTTTTCTTAAATAGTACCTGACAATAAAATACATACAATTTGTCCACGCTGCGCTTGGTGAATAATTTATCAGTTATATGTATCAATGGCCCTACTGATCAACGAGTACAGCTAGTGCGTGGCCAATTAATTTTCTAACGTCAACCCTCACCTATAACATTGCTTTTCTATGTAAAATATTTATGGAACATGCAAGCATGTGTGAATTTGACTATTTGAAAACGGATCCTCCTAACACCTAATAATTCATAAACTATAATTTGTGTTAAGTACTGATGTTTGAACTCAATCATGATCTCGATTGCCTACTTTAAAGTTTAAATCATCACTTCTTTAATTTCTTTCTTTCCTTCATAAACTATAAATGGTTTAAATAATACACGCTAGCCAGTGGCCTCGACCCTTCTTTCGTTAACCTGATTTCTTCACACTGTGATTGACTTTATATTAAAATAAAAGAAAGAAAAACTTATAAATAATTTCAATTTCGCTCTATCTCTGCAAGGCAATTTTGCGCCAAGTTTTCATTCTGCTTAATTACTCTTATTAAACATGATATCAACCTAACTAAAACAATCCCAAATAGCTTATGTTAAAATCGAATGAAGTTGACGATTAATAAATAATAATTATTATTTTTTGGGAGAGATAAATATAGTGGAAATTAAGTAGTATGTATCATGTGCATGGATCTGTTTACACCTAAAATATTTTTGGTTCAATTAAATGCCGCATTTATTAGTCTCGGCATTTAATTCGATACAGCGGGGAAAAAACGGTCTCTTTTGGAGTCAAGCGGCGTCGCGGAGAGTCAGGACGATACCGCGATACAGAAAAACGGTACCGCAAGGAAACTCAGCGGTACCGCGGCACGGGAAACGACATCGCTCACCGAAAAACAAAAGGGGCCGCGCATTTAGTGTGGGTTATGGAGAAGTAGTTTTCTAATTAATTATTATTTTTATTCCTTTTGGAAGAGGAAAAGCGGCACCGCGGAGAGTTAAAACGGTACCGTGGATCTGAAAACGATGCCGCGAGAGCCTTGACAAGCGGTACCGATTAATTAAAAGCCATATTGGGTAAGTGACCAAAATCCGCCCAGCCAGTGCGAGTGCGACGGTTCAATGAACTGGTATTTTTGGCTATGTCAGCAGTGTCGTTTAATTAAAACCGGAACCGCGAGTAAGCCCAACGGTACCGCTATATTAGCAAACGACAGTGTTTAATATAAAACAATGTCGTGGAGTAAAAAAGCAAACAAAGCTGTTTGGGGAAGAAAACGACATCGCGTGAGATTCACACCAATCCGAGCGAGGAGGAGATCAAGACGGTTGAGACACGTGGGAGTTCACAACGGAGCAGTTGAGGAAGCGGTTCCACCTAGCGTGAAGACTACGAAGCGGTTTTTCGAATAAAAGCAGTAGAGAAAGGATAAAGAAAGGGACAACCAAATCAATACAGAAACACATCTGTCAAACTTTACCTTTTTTCTCTGTAACTCCTTCGCGGAGCTCTCCTTCCAGGAAGGATCTCCATAGTTGTAGTCTTAGTCGTAGTCGCGGAGCTCTCCACAAGAATCTCCATAGGAGTAGCGGTAGCGTAGATTCCTCAAAACTCAAACACCCTCGTTCGAACGTAGTTTGGAGAGGTGCGAACCGTAGTAACGGTCGTTCTTGGTTAGAAGTCAGAGGTGCATCGATCAAATCAACATCGCCGACACCGGTGGTGGATATTTGACAGTCACGTTGATTTCACCATTTAGAGGTGCATCGATCAAATCAACGGCGCCGACATTCAGCGGCAGATATTTGACGGTCGTCTCGATTTCAGCAATTAGCGGTGCATCCGATCAACGGCACCGCGAGAGTTTCCATCGCGAAACATCAAATCAACATCGCCATAAACGAATTCGGCACAGGCGGTGGCATTTGGTTTTTCTCGGGAAACAGGATCCTATATTTATTATTGTCATCATTAAAACTCAAAGAAATACATAGAAAAAATTTAAGTGCCATTATTTATCATGATTGCTTCGAATAAAAATCTGGGGCTGAATTAACTAATGGCTCGTTTGGATTGAGTATTTGGGGGTGTTATTTGAGGTCAAATAACACAAAATCTGTTATTTGACTCCAAATAACATGTTTGGCTGACAAAATGTGGGATGTGTTATTTGGATGTAGTGTTTTGCCAAATAACAGGTTTGAGACCAAATAACACAAAAAGTGTTGTTTGCCAAATACTTGGGAGGGGGCAGGTATTTGCCAAATAACAAGTTTGAGACCAAGTATCATATACCAAATAACAAGTTTTATATTATGTGGTATTTGTGTGGTAATTGGCCCCAAACAACAAATTTGTCAAATACTCAATCCAAACGACTCCTAAAATATTATCAAGAGCGTTCATCAATAAGAGATATAAATATAGCAGTACTCTTGTGTGTATATATAGATGATTAAAAGTTGGAGTATGGTAAACACTAAATAAGAAAATGATATATAGACTTTGAATTGACCATAGTTTGATGCATAATACTATATACTTTAACTCTTCTTGGTATAAATCTTTTACAATAAGACCAATTTGATTAGAACAATAATCGACGGTTATGATTCATCGTAATATATGTAACAAACTACATGCATCATATTAGGGTTTATGATTTGGATAATTAGGATCTAGAATTCACTCATTAAGCGTTAGTTTCTTACTTTATGTATTCAGTACTCCAAATTTTAGTCGGTGTACTACAGAGGACACCATAATAAGAGTGTTGTTCTGTCCAGGCACATATTTAGTTTATGCCAACCCGATTAATGATATAGTGATGTATTGAAATTTGAATGTTGTTTTTTCTTTCAAATTGAGAGAGAGAAAAAAGCTGTTGTTAAATTATAAACAGGGGAAAACTAAATAGACTACAGTATTCTTTTATTTACAATTTATCCAGAAGAGTGTAGACTTTTTTTGGACATATGTAATCAACTAGCTAGTTGCGATGATGTCAAGAAACCAAATGTTCAAAACTCTTCGTGACCAAAAAGGGCTAATAAGATATGTATTTAATTTGGCATATGGACCCATAATATATATTTGACTGGTATGATATGAATACAAGGATATGCGGTTTATGTCTCATTGAAAATGACATTCAAGGTATGGGGCTTAGGTTGATTGTTTTTTTTTTTCTTCTTTTCAATAGGAGAAAATGAGTTATTAATATACATAATATAAAATAAATTTCATTTTAGTTATTAAATTTTTAATTCATTAATTTGTTTATATATGTATTTAAAAATTATATTAGAAGGCTCAAATAAGTCGGATCATGATCTAATCACTACAACTTAAACCACTTGTTTGATCCGCTCAACGACTCAAATCGAATTGACAACGCTTGGTTTTATATATAATTTGAAACTTTCATTTTCTCGCGTGAGATAGTAAATTTTATTTTTTTCACTTAGATTAGGTAAGAGTTGTGTGTTCAACTTGATTTCAGTATAGCAAATTATTTGGCATGCGAGGCGTGTAGGTCAGGGGACAAGAAAGGTTGATTCTGTCTGTGTGTGATTGGGGAGGAAATTTAATTTAATTTAGGATATTGAAGAAACGAAAAATGTACGTGCAGGGACAGTGGGTGAGTCATGATCCGGATTACATAGGGTGCAAGAAAGAGCAGTGCCAAAAATGGAACGGCCCCGTGTGCGACGTGTCCACCTGTAACGGCACCATAACCTTCCACGTCGTCAACTTCAGAACCGACGTTGAGTTTGTCTTCTTCACCGGTGGGTTCGATGCGCCCTGTATACTGGCTAGGTCCGGCCCTTTGAAATTCGCCAACCCAAACCACCCTCTCTACGCCCACATTTCCAGCATTGATTCTTCAGCAACCTCGGTACGTAACTCACTCTTTCTTTCTTTATGGCTATGGCTTTTCTGTTACAATACAAATGCTGGCTGGGAGGGACTCAATTAATTAATGAATGAATTGGGTTCCATTCCATTCCATTCCATTCCAACGAGCAGATGAAGGTAACGTGGGTGAGTGGAAGTGAAGAGTCACAAGTAGTGCAATATGGTGACGGGCAAGCAACAGAATCAGAGTCCACAACGTTTACTAGGGACGATATGTGCAGTAAGCAGTTTTGATGCTTTTTCCACTGCCCCTTTCTTTCCCTATGTATAGGGTGTGGTTTTGAATTTGATGGTACGGTACGGTGCAGCCTCTGTTCTGCCAAGTCCAGCCAAGGACTTCGGGTGGCACGACCCTGGCTACATCCACTCCGCAATCATGACTGGTCTGAAGCCCTCGAGCTCCTACTCCTACAAATATGGCAGTGCTTCGGCGGGGTGGAGCGAGGAAATGAAGTTCAAGACTCCACCTGCTGGTGGGTCAGAGGAGGTCAGGTTCCTTGCCTATGGTGATATGGGTAAAGCCCCACGCGACCCTTCTGCAGAGCACTACATTCAGCCTGGCTCCCTGGCGGTGGTGGAGGCTTTGATCAAGGAGGTGGATTCAGGGGACATAGATTCCATCTTCCACATCGGGGACATCAGCTACGCCACAGGCTTCCTGGTTGAATGGGACTACTTCCTTCACCTTATCACCCCCATTGCCTCCAAGGTCACCTACATGACCGCCATAGGAAACCACGAGAGGTGCTCCATCCACGCCACCGACCGACCTTAATTCAATTGCTGACTCACTCTGCGCTATACTAATCAATTGCTTGGCTTGGCTTGGCTTCAGGGATTACACCAACACTGGATCGGTTTATGGCACCCCTGACTCTGGTGGCGAATGTGGGGTTCCTTACGAGACATACTTCCCAATGCCAACCTCCGCCAAGGACAAGCCATGGTACTCCATTGAACAAGGAACCGTTCACTTCACCGTCATCTCCACTGAGCATCCATGGTCGGATGGTTCCCAACAGGTACGTACCAATAATGACGTGTGCTACCTGTACTAATTACCATTTCTTAACTGCCCCCAAAACAAAATTCTTGCTGCAGCTTCAATGGATCAAGACTGACTTGGCTGCAGTAGATCGATCCAAAACGCCTTGGCTGGTTTTTGCAGGGTGAGTCAAATCCAAACCAACATATGGTTTTATCTATTATCATCAAAGAACCGTTCCACTTGATTATCTGAAACCTCAAGTTGGGGGGGAAAAAAATTTCGACAGGCACCGACCCATGTACTCCTCTTCCAACCCAACCAGCGCAGACTCCAAATTCGTGGCTGCCCTAGAGCCATGGCTGCAGCAATACGAGGTTGACCTAGCGCTGTTTGGACATGTTCACAACTACGAAAGGATGTGCTCTGTTTTCCAAGGCGCTTGCCTGGCCATGCCTACAAAAGACGATGATGGTGTGGACACTTACGATCACGACAATTACACTGCACCAGTTCATGCTGTCATTGGGATGGCCGGCTTCTCTTTGGACAAGTTCTCAGACACTGTAAGTTCCATTCCATCTACTCGCTTCATTAATGTGTTTTGCACCACAAACCCGTGATTTGAAGTTTCCCATTTGAGCTATAATCAGTTGCCGCCTCAAAGTTGGAGCTTGAGAAGGATCGCAGAGTATGGCTACTTAAGAGCTCATGCCACAACAAGTGAGATCAATTTAGAGGTTAGTATGCAATGCCAGCTACTGCAACATTTTGGCACACAATTCACCAGCATTCCTTTTCCACCTGATCCAACCGAAAAATGATTCATTATTGCTATTTCATTGAACAAATTAACTATGCCATTTCATGGAAGAAGTTAACTAATTTTCATGACTTCAACACCCTTTTTTGTTTTCTCTTTTTCTGCAGTTTGTGGACGCAAATACACTGCATATTCATGACAGCTTCCGTATTATTAAATCAACAAACTAAAAGAGACATGTTATTTACGCATTGGGAGTTCATGGAACTCTCTGTTTTCCGTTTCCGACATATTATATGATTAATGGTACACATTATGTAATTAAATTTTAATTTTATAAGGCATGGCAAGCTCAGTGTATGGGTGTTTAGTAAAAACGAAAGGTGTTGCTTTTACCAAACTTAACAAATTGGAAATATGGAAGACTCATGATCTACGTGGTTTCTTTGAGTTCGGGACTAGTTTTTAGTCACTCCTTCTTATAGTATCTTGTTTCAAACTCTTGGTATCCCTCTGTATGAATTTGGATAAACATGTGTCCCGGTTTTGGTGGGGCGGTTAGTTTCATATCTGTTGGATATCCTAGAGAAAATTGTGTTGCAGTAACCATGATGGAGGATAGGGTTTCGTCAATTCAAGCACCTTAATGAGGCCCTCTTTGCCAAAATTAGGTAGCAAATCCTTAACGAACCCCAATCCCTCCTGGCTCAGGTGTACAAAGGAAGGTACTTTCCTACAGGGTCCTTCCTTACTACTTATGCGCATTCACGGCCCTCTTGAAGCTGGCAGAGTATCCTGTATAGTAGCTAGTTACTTTCTCAAGGATTGCATTGGCAGGTTGGGAATGGCCACAGTGCCTCTATTTGGAATTCTAGATGGATTCCTAGTTTACATCCGAATGCCCCCCTTTGTCACCATCATGTGATACCGTAGGGGTCGCACCTGAAGGTAACAGAGCTAATGGAGCAAGGGGGAGGCCATTGGAGTGACGAACGACTCGCACAGATGTTGCCTAGGCCATTAAAGCGATCCGGCTCCATCGTATGGTTATAAATGACTCCCTAATCTCGCATAATACTAGGATGGGGTGTTTATCATGAAGTCTGCATACCACCTAGCGATTTTGACTGATAGGCAGCGAGATGTTTGGTGTCGAAGGGTTAGTTTTATGGATAGAGTCAGTTGGATTCAGATGTGAGAGCTACCAATTCCGCGCAAGCTGAAAATTTTTCTCTGGCCGATTTTTCCTCACATAATCCCGACTACAGAGGCACTTATTGAGAAGAAGGTCGAAGTAGTGCCCCGTTGCCCGGCCTGCTGGGCAGAGTCCGAGTAAATAGAGCATATCTTTCTGGATTGCCCAGTAGCAAAAGCATTATGGGATCACTCTAGTTTAGAGTATCCAGACCAAGGGCTCCGGCGCCATACTTTTTCAATGTTTCTAAAAAAGTTGTTGGTACGGGTAATATTTGGTGATCCAGGAATTAGGTTTCCTTTTAGGGTAAGCAATTTTGAATATCTACCTTGATACACGTATCATCAACAAGTCCAGGATTGGATTAGCTTGCCAGCAGACAGAATGATCCCACATAGACCGAGCCCGGCTCGTCCGACACATTCACTTGCATGTGGGAAGGGGCAATAAGGAGTGAGTTCCATGTCGCTGGAGGAATCATCCTAAGGGACCCCAAAGGATCTTTTGGATTAGCTGAAGGGGTTTACGTTGAGAATATTGATGATCCAACCTTAGTAGAGCTTTTGGTTCTTCGGGAGGCTGTCAAGTTGTGTCTGGATCTTGGTCTCTCATAGGTTCATTTTGAAGGGGATGTGAAGGTTGTCATTGATAAGATAACCCTAACAGACAAGCGAGATTGTTACTATGGGGTCATTCTTGAGGAAGTCATTCGTCTATTTGCGTTTCGTAATGGTTATGTTGTACGATTTATAGGTCGAAAGAGATAAGGTAGGTCATTCAGTAACTAGAAAAGCCCTTTCTTTGTACCGGCCCCCACATCGTTTCTTTTGATTTTTTGTTCTGGATATATACCAGGGTGTTCTATCTCTATTTCAATCAATATATGATTACATTTTGTCAAAAAAAAAACAAATATAGAAACTAATAATATGTTCAGATATATTTTCATTTGTTGTTGTGACAAAAAGATTGACAACGCAACATAAATTAACTGAAATCAATGTAAAGAGCTTCCTTACTGTTTACAAAAATTAGGACTGGTAAGCGGTTATTCCATTAATGGTGTAACCGATAACCGAACCAGAACTGGCGATTAATGGTTAAACGGATAACCGATTAAATAAAAAAACGGTCGGTTCCCTGTAGCCAAATTTAGCTAATAACTAATCAATGGTTAAACGGTTAATCGACTAACTGATTATGACCATCCTCATAGTTAGAGCCAAAAATAATAAACCTCCATGAGCTGCAAACATAGGCCAAAATAATGGGGTGTTTGAAGGATTACAAGACCCCTTGCCTATCCTAGTTGTAAATGTGACTTAGACTCAAATGAGAATAATTTAAAAGAAGAGTTTTAGAAGAAACACAGTAGAAAGTCATACTTGATCACAGTTGCTCGACAATAATTAGTAACGTTAAGATTCCATGTAGTTTGATGGGGTTTACAAGTTGAGTAATTGTTGTTGAGTATCGTTGTATGCTTCTTTAATAGAGTTTGATGGTAGAATGGTATTATTGTGTACGTGTTTTGGATTGAGTTGATTATGTATTGATATATATCTATGTTAAATTATCAATTATTCAATGATAACAACTTAAGAAAAGAACACATGCATATTTATGAAAAATTTCACAATTAAATGAAGTAGGTCTTGTGTTGGTTAGGTTATCGATTGTTATTTTGGTATGACATTACCGAATCACTTGGTTAACGATTATTCGGTTAACTGACAAAATAACCGAGAACAAACTATACGGTTACGTTTAACCGACTAATTTAACAATGCGGTTAACAATACAAACAAAGTGATTAACAATTAACCGAGAACCGACTAAACGATTGCAGTTATAACCGAACTGATTATCAGCCCTAACAAAAATTGTTTCTAATGGCATCTTACCGGTGACTGAAACAATTTAATTTAGAGTGTTTAATCCATTAAACACATTTTGTACATATTTTTTCCTCTGCATTTTTAATGGTTAAATCAACATTATTTATCACAAGGCCAGTCCAACAGAGCTGCCTTCCTCAAAATTAATATATAAAATCCTAGATTGCAAGTTATTATTCATTAGTGGCTCTCACACTCATTCAAGTGCAAGTGGGAGAGTTCCAAGTCTTTCTTTTACCCCCACTCTTCATTCTACAATATTTGTGTTTAGTTATTGTTCGCTAGTTAATATATTAATTAATTAATATATAAAAGCCTAGGTTGCAAGTTACTATTCATTAGTGGCTCTCACACTCCTCCAAGTGGAAGTGGAGGAGTTCCAAATCCTTCTTTTACCCCACTCTTCATTCTACAACATTTGTGTTTAGTTATTATTCTCTAGGTTTTCGTCTATAACTTTTTGCACAAATCATCGCCTTTGTCCACCATTTTGCAGCGGATCTCGAAATACTGTCGGCAAAATCCTAAATTGTTCCCCACCACCGATTCCCAATGACGCTACCACGAGTTTTGTATCGGGACTGAGTTTCATCATCTTTAGTGTTTTTTTCTTTCTCTTTTTTCTTTTTGCTGAGCATGATTACTATTGAACCCAAACACATGAGTATCCTAACTTGAACACAAAGCCTAGATTGCAAGTTACTATTCATTAGTGGCTCTCACACTCCTCCAAGTGCAAGTGGGGGAGTTCCAAGTCCTTCTTTTACCCCACTCTTCATTCTACAACATTTGTGTTTAGTTATTATTCGCTAGGTTTTTGTCTATAACTTTTTGCACAAATCATCGGCTTTGTCCACCATTTTGCAGCGGATCTCGAAATACTATCGGCAAAATGCTAAATTGTTCCCCACCACCGATTCCCAATTACGCTACCATGAGTTTTGTATCGGGACCGAGTTTCATACTCTTTAGTGTTTTTTCTTTCTCTTTTTTCTTTTTGCTGAGCATGATTACTATTGAACCCAAACACATGAGTATCCTAACTTGAACACAAAGCCTAGGTTGCAAGTTACTATTAATTAGTGGCTCTCACATTCCTCCAAGTGCAAGTGGGGGAGTTCCAAGTCCTTTTACCCCACTCTTCATTCTACAACATCTGTGTTTAGTCATTATTCGCTAGGTTTTCGTCTATAACTTTTTGCACAAATCATCGCCTTTGTCCACCATGTTGCAGCGGATCTCGAAATACTGTCGGCAAAATCCTAAGTTTTTCTCCACCACCGATTCCTAATGACTCTACCACGAGTTTTATATCCTGACCGAGTTTCATCCTCTTTAGTGTTTTTTTCTTTCTCCTTTTCCTTTTTGCTGAGCATGATTACAATTGAACCCAAACACATGGGTATCCTAACTTGAACACAAATCATTGCCTTTGCCCACCATTTTGCAACTCATCTCGAAATACTGTCGGCAAAATTCTAAGTTGTTCCTCGCCACCATTCACAAGGCTGCTACCATAAATTTTGTATCGGGATCGAGTTTCATCCTCTTTAGTGTTTTTTTCTTTCTCTTTTTCCTTTTTGATGAGCATGATCACAATTGAACCCAAACACATGGTATTCTAACTTGAACACAAATCATCGCCTTTGCCCATCATTTTGCAGCCCATCCCGAAATACTATCTGCATAATCCTAAGTTGTTCCCCACCACCGTTTTCCAAGGCCACTACCACGAGTTTTGTATCGGGGCGAGTTTCATTCTCCTTAGTGTTTTTTTCTTTCTTTTTTTTTCCTTTTTGTTGAAAATGATCAGAATTGAACCCAGCACAAATCATCGCCTTTGTCAACCATTTTGCAACCCATCTCGAAATATTGTCTGCGGAATCATAATTTGTTCCCCACCACCATTTCTCAAGTCGTTACCACGAGTTTTGTTTCGGGACCGATAATCTTTTTTTCTTTTTTGTTGAGAATGATCACAATTGAACCAAAACACAAATTATCGCCTTTGCCAATCATTGCAACCCATATCAAAATACTGTCGGCGGAATTCTAAGTTATTCATCACCACCATTTTCCAAGGTCGCTACCACGAGTTTTATATCGGGAACGAGTTTCATCATGTTTAGTGTTTTTTTCTTTTTCTTTTTTGTTGAGCATGATCAAAATTGAACCCCAAACACATGGGTGTTCGCCAGGTTTAAATCTATTGTTCATTGTGTTTCCCATAAAAATTATTGCCTACTAGGTTTTCAACTCGCTATTGCAGCCACCAATGTAGTCAAAAGTGACTTTCTATGTAGAAATGTTTTGGTGATCTAGAAGTTTAAAATCGTAAGTTTTTATGTTTTAAAGCGGAGTTTTTAACTACATAAGTTATAAAAACTGAGATTTTGTGTAGAAGCGTTTTAGTGAACTAGAAACATAAAATCGTAAGTTTTTAAGTTATAAAGCGCGATTTTGACTACATTGGCAACAACTATCCACTTTTCGCAACATTTTGCAACCCAACTCGAAACACTCTTGGTGGAATCCTAAGTTGCTCTCTTCCACCGTTTGCCATGGTCGCGACCAAAGACCATACTAGATATGATCTTGATCTGTCCAATCCTCAACAACGCTCACCAATTCACAACCATCTCTAAACACTGTCAACTGAATACTAAGTTGTCCCCTTCCACCGTTTACCAATGCCGCTACCATATCTACTCAATTTTGGTGAGTTTTGTATTGGGACCGAGTTTCGTCCGCTTTAGTGCTTTTTCTTTTACTTTTTGCTTTTTGTTGAGCATGATCACAATTGAACTCAAATCCATGGATATCCAACCTAATTCAATCCGGTCAAAGCGACTTGAAACCGATTTTAGCATTTATAAATTTCTCTTTTTTTCCTTTTGGTTGGGAAGACAATTGAACCCGAATCTAAGGGATTGACGAGTGTTGTATTGTGAGCGAGCTTTATCCGCTTTTGTAGGTGGTAGGTTGCACCAAGTGTTAATTTGTTAAAAATTGTTCAAAGCGAGTTGAACACGTTGTTGACCAGTTTTAGATTGAAAGCGGGTTTTGTATGCTTTAATGTTTTTTATTGCTCATTTTGCTTTTCGTTGAGAATGACAATTGAATTTTGACTCATTGTTAATGCATTTCGTATCGAATGCGAGTTTTATCCGCTTTTGTAATTGACAGATTGGGTAAATTATGAATTTTTTAAAACTGGGCGATCCGGTCAAAGCGAGTTGAACGCAGTGTGGAGAGTTTGGAGTCATGAACGAGTTTTATCCGCTTTAGTATTTTTTATCTTTTTCCATTTGGTTGAGAATTACAATTGAGTCCAAAGTCCAAACGCATGGGTATACAACCTAATTCGACCCGACCAAACAATTTGAATCCGACTTTACAGGTTTTCTGCGGGCATGAGTTTTATTTGTTTTTGTAATTGGCGGGTTGTGTCAGGTGTGAATTTGCCCAAAACTCGTTTCAACCAGGTCAAAGAGAATTAAACCTGGTGATAACGAGTTTTAACTTTAATGTTTTTCATTTCGTCTTTTCCTTTTGTTTGAGAAAAACAATTGAATCCAAATCAATTGGTATCCAACCTAATTTGACCGGCTCAATGCGAGTTGAACCTCCTCAAACCTAAAATCAATCCAAAAATCTACACACAATATATAATAGCAGGAAGGGGAAAACTGTTGCTCCATTTAAAATTTTCTGCAACAAGAGTGAAAGTAGGAAGGACATTTTAGTCTTCACAATTACTTTTTTTATCTGCAACAAGAGTGAAAGTAGAAAGGAAGTTTTAGTCTTCACAATTACTTTTTTTATTTATTCATTAAAAAGACACGCACTGGGATTCAAACCATGACCACTTTACAAGAAAGCAAAGATCATAACCAATCACACTAAGTACATTTGTTGTATCTTTCTAAATTAACAACATATAATAACAGTGAGGAAAAAACCATACCCCCATTTCAAATTCCCTACTCCAAAAGCGTTCGTAGGAAGGGTAGAATAGGGAGTGTCAATTTTTTCTATTTCCTCTGTGGAACGAGCCAACTTACCGTACATATGCGGATTTAAACGGGCCAATGAGGGTCAATGTTTTTCTTTAAGCCCTTTTATTTCTCGGTGTTGGTAAAATATATATGAAAGGGCAAAAACAATACTCTTTTTTATTGCTAAAAAGAAAAAAATTAACAATAAACTAATGCATGAATTCTAATGGGCTAACCGCTAACCATAAAATAAAAGAGTTGAATGGGCCTGACTACACGGGATTTGCCCATCAAGTAAAATAAATGAACATCTTGAGTTTGTCATTCTAAAACAAGCTATTTCCTCTAGCATAATATCTATTATGCTATTATTTATATCTTAGTGGCTAAAATATAATGTATTTTAAAGTTATTAAATGGTTCAACCTCGACCAACCCAATTAGTCCAATTTTTATCATTTCAAATATATATTATATAATTATTTAATATCATAATGATTAAATTATAGTGTATTTTATAGGAAATCGTTTGGTATTTGTTAGTAAAAAAACTAAACAGAAAGATCTATTTGGTTATTTTTAATTTTAAGACGATCCTAAACATGTTTAGTTTCCTTTCAAATTTCTATGGTTTTATTCCCGAATCAGTGATGTGCAAATGGCGAATTGCAGTCATCTCTTTTCTTTCACTATTTTCTATTTTAAAATAGAAAGTTTAAAAGTAAATAATAATTAGAGTTTGACAAGGGTCGGTTAAACATGCTGAATTTCAAGTTTTGGTCTGCTTTGATCAAGTTTAATTTATAATCACATTGTTCCCCGATACCCAATAAAAATCTCAATCCAAACCAGTTCGGCAGGTGAGTCCGTGTTTACCACCATTTTTTCTAGAGATACAAGGACGGCGGTTCCTATCCCAAATTATGTTGTTCGTTCTTGATTTCTTTAGATTTTATCATGGTCTGGCAAGATGAAAGTTTTATAAAGCAAATTAATCGGCCAACAGGTCGAGTAAAAGCTAGCAACGATTGTGATATGCTCATTTCCCGAAAACCGCCGGGATAGGCAATTTCTTATTTGATTTTCAGGAATTTGGTTTCTATAAAACTTACTCCGCCTCATCATATTACCAGAAACAATATTGTTTCACAAGGTAACAAAGTACTTGATTTTGGTTCATAAGGCTGATTTTTTATTCGTTGCATCATCCATGTCTCTTTCCTGCTAAAATTCACTATCTTTATTACGTGTTTCCAAAAAAAAACTATACATCAATAAGCTATATACCCTATTACATTATCAAATTTCATACCTCACCTTCCTCTGGCCAACTGGCCGGAGACCATGCTAGTTTCATAAAGGAGAACCACGATTACCTCGAACCCAAAAAAAACCCCAGAAGAGTACGACTATGTTTGGCTCGAATTTTAGAAGTTTTATGTTTCAAAAGTTGAAGCCAAGCCAAACACCTCTAAGGCTCGCTTTTTAAAAAGCTGAAGTTTTTCATAACTTAATAGCAGAGGTTTCGATTTGAAAATACAAAATTGTCCTTACCATATATTATTCTTTTTCTCAAAAATATAATTTTATTTCATTTATATCATTCTAAAAAAATAAATTGAAAATATTATTATTTAATATGAAATAAAACTAACTTGATCGATTTAAAATACTTTTTAGAATTTATATTCATATTCTATGTTAGATTTATTTTATTGTCCTTTTACATTACATCTTATATTAGAAAGTAACTCTGATAGTTTTTCAGCTAAACACTCAACAGTTTATTTTTAAATACTTCTTGAAATTATCCAAAAAAACTGTTTCATTATGCTAAAGTTACAGCAGTATCAACTATCGAACATACAAATTGTAACAATAGCGTCATGAAAGAAGTTTAAACATAAATAATCTATTCGACGACCCTTCTACCTTATGCAAGTTTCTCTACCATATACTATTATAAATGACTACACCCACAACAACAAAACGAGCCTTAAGCTTTTTCTTTTAGATTGTTCCCGCATTTCGTATGCATGTTATTAAAAACTATCAGAGAGCCATCCGCAAGAATCGGAGTTGTTGTGGCTAGGGGTGGAAATTGGGGTGGGTGTTGTTATCCGCCCCACATTTTGCGAGTAACCACACCCACAAATGTAGAATTATGTTAACCATCCGCAAGAATTGGAGTTGTTGTGGCTAGGGGTAGTGGTTAACCATAACCCGTTGTGGGTTGGTGCGGGTTGGTTGTGGATACCCACAAAAATTTCACATTAAATATGAAATATAATAATATGGTAATTAAATAGTGATGTGTTTCTTCTCACACAAAAACATACATAATAGAAAGTTAATAAAGTGTTAAATAAATTATAAATCTCAAATACAATAGGTTTGTTAGTGTAAATTTAGAAGAGATGGATTTGGAAAGAGATTTGAAGATAACGCAAAGACAGAGTGACCTGTTACCAGACAAATATCGTTGCATGTCACGGCTCCTCCGATTACAATAACAGCAAAACACAAAAGTGACTCGATAAGTGGAGGCGCCCGCTTTTAATGATTTGCTTATTCTCCATTCTCGACTATAGTCTTGTATTGTTGGTAGTTGGTTGCATGTTGTGTTGTTCGTGAATTCGTGGAGAAATGGAGATTATTTTGGGTATTAGACTAAACTTTATCGATTATTCCCCTTTTAACAAATCGACTAATTTACCTAACTATATCTATGGACTTGGTTTTGTTATACAATAAATATATACCACACGGACAATGCTTATTTGATAAAAGGGTTATAGCCTTATAGGTATAATATGCCCCTCTACTATGACGCTTTATCAAACATGCCCATCTACTATTTTTTACATCAAACATGCCCCTGTACTTTGTAAAAATGATCAAACATGCCCTTTTGTTAAAATTTTCATCCAGAAACTGTTAACCAAGGCCGAACTTTAGTTTGGGTGACACAAATGACTAAAATATCCCTAATAAATTCACTTTAGATTTTTTTGGTTCTTTTGTGTAATCAAATCATTCAAATAATTTCACTTTGAAAAGACCCAGGAAAATAAAACAGGGGACAAAACTGACATTTTTCCTTCCATTTGCCGATGTCCGGTCGTCTAAATCTCGATTCAACCATGATTGACGATTTTTTCAATGAAAATTTTAACAGAAGGGCATGTTTGATAATTTTTTCAAAGTACAAGGGCATATTTGATGTAAAAAATAGTAAAGGGGCATGTTTGATAAAACGTCATAGTAGAGGGGCATATTATACCTATAACCCTTGACAAAAATATCTCACATGAACATTGCACATTGACTTGGTTTTGTTTTATAGAATAAGTGTGTTTGATTTTGGTAGCTACTTTAATTCTTACTCTTCCAAGTTTCACAAATTAATATAACTAATGTGGTTAATGTGGGTTACAAAGTATTTGAAGAAATAAATATAACTAATGTGGGTTTTGTGGGTAAATCCCTGTGGGTAGTGGTTAACCACTAACCACAAAAATTAATATTTTGCTACCCACACCCAGCCCACTATCCACAAATTATGGGTATGAGTATCCAAAAAGTGTGCGGCTTGCGGGTTACCCGCAACCTTCAAACCAAAACCAAACTTCCACCCATAGTTGTGGCTACCACTTGAAAACAGGCTTCTTTGGGGCTTACAATTACAGTGGCCATTTCATTGGTACACTAGACTAGTTCATGGTAATTCTTTAATTTGCCAACAGTGGAGATTCCACACTTACGTTAATCAATCACTGTCCCCATACTAACTGGAAGATGTTTCTGCTCGCAGCTGGACTTACAATGTCGTTGCTCTGCTTCCTTAGCATGTCCACTTGTGCATGGAAGTCTCCCTCCTTGGTAAGAATCAAATGGTGAACAATGGAATCATCTTGAACTTTTAAAGTAGGGTCATTTTAGCGTCGCATTCAAAAATTGTAGAGGACTTACAAGAAGCGAATAGGCACAGGCAAGTGACAGAAGCGTTGGGTACAGATCGAGAACAGCCATGGCAACCTGCTCTGTCACTTGAGGAACCTACAGAGACCAATTTTTTTGTGCCTCAGTACTTCTTTTATATACAAATGGGGGACGGCTGGCTTAAAGGAAAGAATCGACATACCTGCATAAGCTGAATAGCAAACACATCACCAACAGTCATCTTGTCTAGTTCTTCACACCTCTTGATGAAATCACAAAACCGAGGGCAGGTAGCGAATTGGTTGGATCGATCACAAGTTCTCTGTGAGCGATAATATTGAGAAACGGACTTGGTCAAATAGCTATACTTCTTCAATGTGTCAGGTAAACTGGTAGTTCTCTGGACATCAAAGCCCTCCAGAATCTCTGTAGTAAAACAGCTGCAAGGATAGGGTAGAAGGAAACTTCATCATCAAAAAGAATGAAGCACATCATTACAACATCTGAATCTATAAAGCATGAAGAAAACAGTTTGCAACAACTAATTTCCGTGGGTTTTTGTGAGAAGCGTGTTGGTTGACATCATTAGTCTCTTACGCTGTTTTGATGCTTTCAGCCCCATCACAACAGTTCGGATCTCCTTCAACAAGATACATTAGCTTCTTAAGTCCACATCTCTGCGAATAAACAGGATGTTGTCAGATAGTTGTTATGTTGTTGTTAAAACAAGGAATGCTAGAGAAATCGATACATCGGTGCTCCAGAGTGATTAAACAGAATGTAAGTGAACAACATGCTGGAAATGGTATGCGGTTCGACCAGGGGGGGAATGAGTACCTGAAGTCTCAATTTCTGGTCTCTATAGCGATTATCCCTAATCGATGACCGCAAATCATCAACATTTTTCCGCTCGACAACAAAATCAAGAACGTATTCATCAAAATGGTATTTGTGGCGAGCAAGCCAGATTCCATCCCCAACCGGTAACCGCCTGACCTGAGGAACAGCCCATATGTATAAACACTACTAAAGGGAACACCAAACAATGCCATGGATATGTATGTGATGCACCAGGTACAAGTGACCAAAAATGAAAAGATACCCCTGATGTCCATTCTTAAAATGCAATCTAACATCAGAAAAATAAACCAGAAACTAACTGCTTTCCAAGATGACCATGAAGACAAACAGCAGTGCTGCTCGTTTTTCGGAAAATAAAATTGTTAACATTATGAGAAACTGAAGCTTTGACCTCATTGATAGAGAGGAGGCTAACCCAGCAGGCAGCTTGTGGAATAAGGCATAGGTTTTAAACGGTTCCAAGAAGCAAGGAAAGTTGACAAGAAAGGTCGGGGCGAAGGACAACGAACAACAGTCTTATTTATGACTGAAACTCCAACATTATTTAAGAACCCTTTGGAAAGAAAAGGAAAGGTCTAAAGATCAAACTCTGCTACCTCTACTTTTATTCCGTGCTCATTGCACATCCCATCAATAAGCTTCCTGCCTCTCGTCCTGTAAATGAAAGATTATGTTAGTATGTTCTAGTTTCACAACAGATATAAAGCTATTTTTGGGAAGATGGAACTAAGAGAAGAGAATTGAACACTACGAACAAGAATTTTTTTCACAAGTGCAGGGATATACAAAGGAAAACCCCTTACAACATTCATTAAAAGTTAAAAGCGACCTATCAAAAGACAAACTAATTACCAAGTATTTCAACCTACTATGTTCAAAAACACTGTCCCTCTACATCCTAACAGATTCAGTTAAAAATTTCATTTAGAATAAGAATAACAACGAAATTTAGAATTCTGGACAGAGGAAGTTTCTTCTAGACATTGCTTGAAAAGGAAACCAGAATCAGTCAAATTTGTGTGCTGCATTTACATTAAGGCAGTATGATCAAATTTCAGTGATGCATTTAGAACAGAAATTCATGAACCGTCTATCAAAAACCTATCGGACTGATAAGTGGGTTAAACAAATCTCATTCCAGGTACGATGAGATAACTATAAGGGTTAACAAATTGCTAAAATCAATACTCGATACTCACAACAGCAACAAAAGTCATAACTTCTTAAGCAAACATACAAAATAATCTTTTTTTATTGTGAACAATGAACATGTTTCCATCATGGCAGCAAGGTTTACAGAACAAATAGAACTACCAAACGAAGAAGAGTCAGGACAAGGGTGCTTTGGCTTCAAGTTACTCACCCGTGAGTTGCAAACTGCTCACGGTCATCTAATATAAGGAGGACTTCATATATATCCTCAAACCTCTCGCCAACTCCAAGAGGTGGCATGCTTAGAACACTCATGTTTTGTTCAGTGTTATCGGAACTTGACGATTTCATGGTGTAGTCCTACAAGAGGATGCCAATAGCATTCAGTAACTGTTAATTGAGTTTCCCTATCTAAGGCTGGGGTTGGCATCCGAAAAGTCAGGTAACTGGGAGGAAACATCAAATAAAATGTGCACATACATTTGATGAGCAAGCTTTCAGATTTAATGAGAAAGCAATAGAACAAGCATTGAGCTTATTACTATGACCCCAATCCATTTTACTATTCCGACTGCCACAAGAAACGACCTGACCTGGACATCATTAAAAGGCCTATCAGTTGAGGAAAGCCAATTCTTAACCAAATGTGATTGCTGATGGACATAATAGGGATCTAATTACCGTGGTTATACGTTGGATTAGTTGATTCTGCTTGACAATCATTTCCCAGGGTTTGAGAGTCTGAATGGAAACCATAAATATGTTCTTCGCGAAGATGACACAGGACCGCTGGCCAGAGTGATGAGATATCCTTCTGACCAGAAGTTTTTGAAACTTCAATGAAGGCATCAAAAACTTGTTCCTTGGAATAACCCATATGCAGAAACTGCAACATAGAAGTCACATAGTCAAGTCAACGAGAATTACTATTGAAGTGGTTCTGCTAACGAGCAAGAACCTATAGCACTACAAATGATAATTACACATGCAGAGTCAGTATAAAAATAATATGAACATGAAAGAATTTGATATTTTTGATTGTAGGTCAAATACACCCAAAAAAAAATTATAATAAGAACAGAATTTAAGAGATGCAACAAATTTTACCCTCTCAAGGGATTGAGTTGGAACATTAATAGATCTCTCCTGTGTATTTAAGTCCACAGATGGAATGGTAACTTCAGCAGATGAAGTAGCCTTAATTGATTCCTTATCTGCTGCATTGTCAATGCCCAAATTAGCAGAATCCTCTGCATCAGCTACAGTCTCCTTTGGGTCTAGCAGGCATGATCTCACCATACATTCCCTTGCTACTTCTCGTCCTTCCTGTGTTAGCTTGTACCTGCAAAGCGATGAAGATCATTTCTATCAAAGGAGTGACAAAAGAAAAAGAAAAAAAATAGATGAAGCAAAGAAGAGAATAGATGACTGAAGTATATCAAAGATCTAATGTGATTTACTTGATGAGTTCCTTGTCCCCTTAATTGTAAGGACACACACATGAATCAAAAGTGATAGCTAACTCGAAGGGTGTAAGCTTTTATTGAAGTCAATACACCATCTAACCAGTACAAGGATCATTCTTGTAGACTGATCTGGAGACCATTTGAAACAAATGACAATAAGATTGCCCCCAACAGGCTGTCTGAATATGTCAGACCAGTTCTGGCACTGTTTACAAGGCCAACTAACTACTAATGAAAACAGTTCAGCCACAACTGGGATCATACCAGCTACAATATAAAATGCTTAACAAGAGAAAGTAGTTCACCAGGAGGCCATATAACCTTCTGACTTTTCGTGATAACTGAGAATTCAAAATGACATAATTGCACAGTTTCACTTAGGACAACGGTTCTCTGATTTAAAATTATTTATGCTTTGAAGGTCACAAGCATGAACATCAAATGGAGAAATGTTGAAGAACATATTAGGAAAACTACACGCCATTGAGATGAAAGTAGCAAAATTTACTCGTGCAGTACTTTGCAGGGCAACTTGATTTGACAACTAATCCTTTAGTTATCAATGTCTTCATGCAACTCCATCCGGAATAAAAGTCTCTTGGGGAACTTCCTAAATGAGCTGCCTTGCCTTTTCCCTTTTCTGGACTGGTAAAGACAAACGATTCAAACCCATCAATTTTCTTCCTAAGAGTTTGAGGAAGGAAATTATGAGGAAGTTGAATATTTTGTTACTTACGCTATTGGCGCACGAGAAAGTCCACTTGCTTCAGCTGCATCAATCAGCTCCTGCTTATGCATAAAGTCCTTGCCATTCGTACTCCCCCTAATTGCAAATAACAAGAATCTAAATATTAGACAGAGTAAACAGCAAACATGATACGAGATGTACAAGAACCTTTGAGAAAGTGAAACATTCAGTTACCTGTAAAGGGAAATCAGTAATGCATATGCTACAGAATTTTTTTGGGGCATATAACGTCTTTTGGCATTAGCTTTCTTTCCTATTTGACCAAAAGAAATCTGATTACGAATCAGTATGAGTGCTCCTATTGCATTTCTTGACAGATGTGACTACTGTTACCTTTGCCAGGCAAGTCCTCAGGTACAGGGCTTCCAGAATCACTATTAAAAAACCCTTTCATTAGCTTCACCATCCACGTACCAACACCCCTACAAGGAAATAATTCGAATTTATATGAAAAGAACAAGGTGGTATAGTAGTGACTCTCCAAGTTTGGCAAGTTAAAATGCAGGAGAAAACACTTCAAATTCTGGAACAAAAATGTTGCTGCTTGAAGCTTCTTTTTATTTTATTTTTTTTTTACTGAAGTTGGAACCACGTGGAAAGTTAATAACGAAATTGGACCTCATCAAATTACTCATATCATATGCCACCTAACCAACAGCAGAAGTCAAGTGAAGAGAAAAATAGTATCAAAATTTGGTTTCCTGCATGACATAGAATCCATCAACGCAAGCATAGTCAAAACAAGAGTTGCCGACTTTCAAATATAAACAACTGCCACTGCAAAAGAATTCTGGGAAGGTTCTACTCTACGTCAGGTGGATAGTTCTGGCATTACCCACCAAAGCAACTGAGTGCTAAACCCAGATGAGAACCAACATTTACTCTTTTGGTTAGAAGAACCAACATTTATTGATTGAAACCGGAAATTGAAAATACAAAAAGAGCAGAAAGATCCACATACTTGAGCTGCGAGAACTCCTTGAGGGTTTTGATGGGAGTCTTGGCACAACACACACTGTTATATGCTTTAGACAGAGTCATATCCAAGTTATCAGATAACCCCTTGGGAGAATCAGCCAATTCTCTCCTCTTTTGTAGTAAGCACGATACAAGGTCTTCGTTACCTGGGCACACCACCCGTTTCCGGTTCTCCATTTCCAGCATAAATCTAAAATCTTTCAAGTGACCTTTTGGGGTGTGAAAGAATTTCTCCCAGTTTAATCCCCAAAACTGTCGACGAACGAGCACGTCGCCGCCCAAAGTCTGCTCCGCGCGACTGCTGCCTGACGTCCCAGACAACTTTCTCTGCTAAACTAAACCCTCTATTAATTTTTCCGATTGTCAATTCCACCGGCTCGTTTCTCTCTGTCGGCCTGGCTTAAAAGTTAAAATGCTGGAAGCCCGCTGCTCCCACAATGGGCTGGGAAAATAGGCCCAAACCAGTTTGTTTGGCTCTAGACTTTAGTCTTGATTTTATTTTTTATATACCTATCTACCCAATATATAATCTACATCTCTACAAATATATTATAGCCAAGTTGAGGGTAGTTTTTCAGCATTTCAAATTTCCTGCAACGAGAGCGAAAGTAGGAAGGGTAATTGTGTCTTTACAATCATTATTTATTTTTTATTCATAAGAAAAGAATACATCAATCTTTAGATTCGAACCATGGTCTTTCCAAAATAAGACAACAACCATTACCAATTAACCTAAAGAAATATTTTGTGTCCTTTAAAGTAAAGAATCTCAACACTTGAAATCTAAAAGTTGGCTAAATTACACGTTTGGTGACTCAAATTATACAAATCTTCCACATTTGCCACCCGAATTACTTTTCTTTCTTATTCTCCACTAACTTTACGAATCGTTTCACCGTTAGTCACCGGCTATTAGGGATGGCAATGGGGCGGGTTTTCCTAAACCATCCCCATCCCGGCTTTCAAATATCCAAACCCATACCCGCCCCATACCCATGCAGGGGAAGATTTTGCAAACCCATCCCCATACCCGTGGGTTTCGGGTACCCATGGGTAATACCTGCCCCGTACATCCAACATTATAATACATAAAATTTTATATGTAAATTTTCAATTATAGCATTAAAGGCACCTATTATATCATGAAGTCGAGAAAGTGACAATAATTCTTAATATGGTTCAAAGCATTTTATCCTAAAATTTCCCTTAATCCATAAAATAGAGTACTACAATGTAATCCAAATCATTATTTATCTGACTCTAATACATATACTAAGTAATAATGAACTAATATAATCTTGCTAAGATGAGGGAAAAGTGAAAGAGTGAAGAGAGAGTTGAGGAAAATGAATTAGGTTTTGATCTAGGTGACCACTCAATTGCATTTGTACTAATTATTTTTTTTATTTACCCTCACTATCATTGATAGATTACTATTTCATCCATGTATTTTTTATATGTGAACAAATATTTTTAGTGGGGCGGGTATGGGTATGGGGCGGGAGGGGGTTTTACCCATACCCGCCCCATACCCAGTCAAAGCAGGGATTCCCCACGTTGACTGAGTTGGGGGCGGTCGGATACCCGTGGGCATGGGTTTGATTGCCATCCCTACCGGTTGTTACACTCCGTTAATTCGGGTGGCAAACGTGAAAGATTTGTATAATTTGAGTGACTAAACATGTAATTTAGCCTAAAATCACACGACTTTTCCACTACTGTTAGCTAGCCCACTAACTTTCCCATAAGTACTTTTTTTGTTATTTCATATTTGAATGTTCATGTTTTTTTTTATTTTGATTTGAGTTTAATAATAAATTTAATTTATGTCTATCTTATAAATGGAGGATAATTTAAAATTGAAACCCAAATATCATTGATTCGAATATTACATATTGAATTGCAGTATTGAATGTGTAGATGTGACGTAGAATTCTTAACTTGGTATTAATTTTTATAACTATTAAAGTAACGATATTGTTATGAAAACTGTAAGTGACCAACTTTTTTAAAATTTTAGTTTGGTTTACTGTTAAATCCTCACTCTCTTGATAATATGGCACGATTGGACAAATTGGTTAGTTTAAAAGAGCACAATTTCTGAATACCAATTTTTCAAGATGATTTCAATTATTTGAATATTTTATCTTATATGATAATTGACCATATTTATCATTTATAGTTAATTAGTTTAATATAAAATAACCGCAATACAAGACAAATCATGAAAGTCGAGCTGGAGTTTAATGGATGCATTGATGTGGTCATGTGCATTAGCAAGGTAGGTACCACAAGATAGGTTTAATTTTTTTATTGAGTGAATAAGATTGTACTTCAACTAAATTTAGAGTATGTGGGTTGATAACTAATTTTTTCATTGCATAGAGTATGGATGAAAAATGTTATTTTCTTACTAATTTTGTTATTGTATTGTGCAGAGTACTTTAAGGTTTAGATACTATTATATATGTATTGTTTCTCAAGCATAAGAAATAAATATTGAATAAAGGTTATGATCACGAGTTTCCTATTTATGCTACGCTTTTTTAGACACTCTTTTTTTGTTATGTCAATTTTCTTTTCAGAGTGACTACATCATTAAATTGATAAGTTATGAATGGTTATTCACGAGTGTTATAACCAAGGTTGTTACACCTCTACCGGGTGGCTGGTTGGACTAGGTCCGACAAAAGTCGTGTTCCAAAATCGGCTCTACAAAGCCAAGTGTTTGATCGTTAGAGAGAGAGAAGAAGAGAGAGGGAAGGGGGAGGGGGAGAGAGGCAAGAGGATGGTGGGTGGATCTTGGAATAAGTATGTTTTCTTATGGAATTTGAGTTTTTAATAAATATAAGTTATTACATTCCATTTCAGTCACTAAAAATTTCTATCTTGTATGTCAATAACTTTAGAAAAGGTGTGAAATGGTTCAAACAGGTTGGACCTCAATCAAATCATTAAACTTCAAACTACTTGCTTGACCGGCTCAACAACTTGAACCGGTTTGACAACTTTGGTTATAACAATTAAGCTTACAATGTTCATCATTGATGATGAAAAGTTATAAGAAATTCAAAAATGGAAAAATAATTTTGATGTCACCTAAATGTCATACGAAATTCAGCATTTCAAGTAATTTAAAATTTTAAATACAGATCATACATACATTGTATTCAATGACATTCCGACCAACGGGTCGGACAACAAGCTAGTAGTAGGAAGGGGAAAACTGTTGCTCCATTTCAAATTTCCTGCACCGAGAGTGAAAATAGGAAGGACATTTTGGTCTTCACAATTCTTTTTTTTATTCATTAAAAAGACACATACTGGGATTCAAACCATGACCACTTTAAAGAAAAGAAAAGAAAAGATCATAACCAATCACACTAAGTATATTTGTTGAATCTTTTTAAACTAAAAACATATAATAGCAAGAAGGAAAAAACCCTTTCCCCATTTCAAATTCCCTGTTCCATGAGCGTTTGTAGGAAGGGTAGAATAGGGAGTGTCAATTTTTTTTTCTCTTTCCTCTGTGGAACGGGCTAACTTACCGTACACATGCGGATTTAAATGGGCTCAGGAGTGTCAATTTTTTTTTCTGTAAGCCCTTTTATTTCTTGGTGGTGGTAAAATATATATAAAAAGAAAAAACTCCTTTTTATTGCTTAAAAAAATTTAATAATAAACTAATGCATCAACAATATCATTTATAGCTGAAAAGTAAAACTGCACACCCCATTCAAATTTTCCTGCTCCTAGAGTAAATTTAGGAAGCTGATGTGACAGAGTGTTTAGGCGGGATTAATGTACAAACGCCCCGCCATTTAGGAGTGATAAGAAACCGTCTTTCTCCCACTACCTTTTTCTTTTGCTGAAATCTCCTTCCTCTTTTCGCACAGTCGCTCCCCCGTTTCCCTTTCTCCTTCCCGCAACAGAGGGTTTTATAGAGGACTATTTTGGGAAGGGGACTAATTTTTGCTGTTGAGCGGAGGTAGGAACTGACGGACTTCTGCTACTGAGTTGACCGGGGCGAGATTTCACATCCTAGAATGAGCTAGAATACATGATTGAGCGCCGACGGGCAGAGCTCATGAGTTGAGTTCTCAGGTGACCAGAGGCAAATTGGCGGAGATTGATTTCGAGAGCAGCGGGGAAAGTAGGAGGGGGTTGTGAAGGGAGAAGGGAGACGGAGAGGCGACACAAAGAGAGGGTTAGGGAGAGTGACACACCTCTTTTGTAGACCCACTTGCTGAATCGGGGGAAGAATTGCTAGCGGGAGTGTGCATTGAGGACGACCCGCTTCATTAACTCCGAACCAGCCTTTTATCAAATGGTTAGTGTCCCTCGGTCTACGCCTGTATTAGGGTTTTGAAGGATTATATGACATCCAAACCCTGCTGATAACCTATCTAATTCAATCCCCCGACTCTCATCTAGACTCCACGTATGTTTTTGTGAATTTTACATAAGTCAGCAGCAACCAAACAAGCAAAACCCAGCCTTAATCATCTTATTATGGAGAGTGATTAATGATATAAACATGAACCTTTTCATTGTATGGCTTCTCAGCCGACTGATTCTGTTGTTAGTGGTTCAGCTAACATTAGCGAATTGCTTCTCGCGTCTCGGCTTCCCCTGGATCAAAGGTCCTCTTCTGTTACAACTCTTTTAATGGGTTTTTGTGGGTTTATGGGTAGCCATTTTGTTGAATCCAAAGTTTAGCGAGACTTTGTATTTGTTACTCTGTTTGATTGTGTGTGGCTTGATGTTAGTTCTGATTGGCTTCAGGATTTCATGGATTTTCAATATAACTTCATTTTTGTTGTTTGCAGGACGCCAGGGGGAATGATGTTGATCTAAGTATCTACAAGGGGAAGGTTCTTATGATTGTTAATGTCGCTTCTCGGTGGTAATTTTCTGCTTTTCCCTTAAAAAGTCTATTAGTTGTTGAAAATCTATGCATAGAACATGGGAAATTACTGTTTCTTTGTAGCACTGATGAATTCAAGTAGATTGAAAGCTTGGTTGTGGCGCCTGAAATACGGATATGTATGTATCCAATGAATGGTTAACTAGTTTGTTTTGTCATTGTGTGAACTTGATACAGCAGCTTGACCGATTTGAACTACACCAAGCTGACTCATCTGTACCAGAAGCACAAGGACCAAGGACGCCACTACTTAGCCCTACTTTTGAGTCTCTTCTATAACTTCTTTATCTTTATTCGCACTATACTTTGTTCCTCCTTAGCCTACCGGTCTATAATCTCCCTCTAAATGAATATGATTATTGATTTGTTGTGCGCCTGTGTTGGGAGCAGGCTTGGAGATCTTGGCTTTCCATCGCAACCAGTTTGGATCTTAGGAAACTGGACACAATGACCAAATTGTTGAGTTTGCTTGCCCGCATACCTGAGTGAGGAGTAAAGTGCAAGGTAGGAAGCCATGTGGATGTTAGGCTGAACAATAGACTCGAGATAGTGCCCGAAGAGGAATATAACGGAGTCGTGGAGGTTGACGAATGGGATGGAGAATCCATGTATATCAAGGATATCAAATCTAAACCATTGCGACTATTTAATTCATCCAACCATACTCAAGGGAATCCCATCTCTAGAACCTATGACAGATAAGTTTAGCAGATATGACATAGATACTTTCGATTTTTTCACTAATCATTCTTTCCTAGAACTGCTCTATCTGTTTTGTTTCTAAGATCCACCATAGACAACGCATCATATGAGCTAAAATTTGGTGTTTGGTTTTATTGGTTTCACATTAGCACAGTTGCGAGAATAGAAGAGTTTGCTTGAAGTTAGAACCGTAGAACATTACAAGTAATTGTATAGATCCGATGGTATCTTGGTTTTATGGTTGTTGGTTGAAGAGTAAGAAAGATGTGGATATTAATTTCATTGAACTAAGTGGATCTTTGGTAGTTGATTAGTTGGTTGATATTTGTAGACCTAAAAATTATAGCGAGTGAAAATGACTATATTTGCTTTGGCACAACTATTGCAGGCATTGCTGAAGAAGAGAGTGAGTGAAGTTGCTGCACAGAAGGCATTGAAAACTACATTCCAGGATAGTGATGAATCTGAATTTCAAGATACACGAGTCAATATGTAGAAGCCTTTTTAATTCTTCTTTTTCAGTTGGTTGTTGTGGTGTTTTCAGGTTCTTTAGGTTTTGCGCGTTCCTCTTTGTTGCTATTTCAGTGGTGGTTCTTCGTGTTCCACTTTGCCACTATTTCCTTACCTACCAAACAGTTGTCGGCGTGTCAGATTTTGTGCTAGCAATTGTATTGTTCTCAAGTAAGATTTATACTAATTACATTAAGGTTTTCTGCCGACTGGATAAAAGATAAGCATCAGTGTTTTCTTAGAATGGCAATGAATGAAATTGTGTGCCCGCTGAGAGGATAAATGATTGGCATGGTTGGTTACTTCTAATACCGATGAATGAAATTGTGGGGTTTGATAGTGTCTCCGCCCATATTGTGTTTCATCTTTGCTATGTGGGGTTTGTGCTTACGGTTTTGCTTAATCACCTTTTCCTGAGGAACATAGTCAGCTAGCAGAGCTGAAATTGCATTGAAACTTGAACTATCATGTTGTGTGTGGTGAAGACTCTTTTGCTGGGTGCTGGCCAACATCTGTTGTTTTCGTTATCCCATTTCTTATTGTACTAGGGTGTATTTGGTTAAGTATGAAAATTTGCTTTAGTTTGGTTATCATCATATTGGAATGGGAATTTACATTTTCCAATGGGTGTTCATGAATTATTTTCATTTCTCGGCGGTTACGATAGGTGTGGTTGCATGCCAGCTTTTATTCTGGATGTGGTCAGCCCCTTTTAATATAATTAAGGCATAGACCAACTAAAGCACTTTCACTCTATCTTTGAAAGGTTGGATGTGTGAATTACAA